TTGTCTGATATGAGAATTGCTACTCCAGCTTTCTTTTGGTTTCCATTTGCATGGAATATCTTTTTCCATCCCCTTACTTTCAGTCTGTATGTGTCTCTAGGTCTGAAGTGGGTCTCTTGTAGACAGCATATATATGGGTCTTGTTTTTGTATCCATTCAGCCAATCTGTGTCTTTTGGTGGGAGCATTTAGTCCATTTACATTTAAGGTAATTATCGATATGTATGTTCCTATTCCCATTTTCTAAATTGTTTTGGGTTCGTTATTATAGGACTTTTCCTTCTCTTGTGTTTTTGTCTAGAGAAGTTCCTTTAGCATTTGTTGTAAAGCTGGTTTGGTGGTGCTGAACTCTCTCAGCTTTTGCTTGTCTGTAAAGGTTTTAATTTCTCCATCAAATCTGAATGAGATCCTTGCTGGGTAGAGTAATCTTGGTTGCAGGTTTTTCTCCTTCATCACTTTCAGTATGTCCTGCCACTCCCTTCTGGCTTGTAGAGTTTCTGCTGAGAGATCAGCTGTTAACCTTATGGGGATTCCCTTGTGTGTTATTTGTTGTTTTTCCCTTGCTGCTTTTAATATGCTTTCTTTGTATTTAGTTTTTGACAGTTTGATTAATATGTGTCTTGGCGTATTTCTCCTTGAATTTATCCTGTATGGGACTCTCTGTGCTTCCTGGACTTGATTAACGATTTCCTTTCCCATATTAGGGAAGTTTTCAACTATAATCTCTTCAAATATTTTCTCAGTCCCTTTCTTTTTCTCTTCTTCTTCTGGAACCCCTATAATTCGAATGTTGGTGCGTTTAATGTTGTCCCAGAGGTCTCTGAGACTGTCCTCAGTTCTTTTCATTCTTTTTTCTTTATTCTGCTCTGCAGTAGTTATTTCCACTATTTTATCTTCCAGGTCACTTATCCGTTCTTCTGCCTCATTTATTCTGCTATTGATCCCATCTAGAGTATTTTTCATTTCATTTATTGTGTTGTTCATCATTGTCTGTTTCATCTTTATTTCTTCTAGGTCCTTGTTAACTGCTTCTTGCATTTTGTCCATTCTATTTCCAAGATTTTGGATCATCTTTACTATCATTATTCTGAACTCTTTTTCAGGTAGACTGCCTATTTCCTCTTCATTTGTTAGGTCTGGTGGGTTTTTATCCTGCTCCTTCATCTGCTGTGTGTTTTTCTGTCTTCTCATTTTGCTTATCTTACTGTGATTGGGTTCACCTTTTTGCAGGCTGCAAGTTCGTAGCTCCCGTTGTTTTTGATGTCTGTCTCCAGTGGCTAAGGTTGGTTCAGTGCGTTGTGTAGGCTTCCTGGTGGAGGGGACTAGTGGCTGTGTTGTGGTGTATGAGGCTAGATCTTGTCTCTCTAGTGGGCAGGTCCACGTCTGGTGGTGTGTTTTGGGGTGTCTGTGGACTTATTATGATTTTAGGCAGCCTCTCTGCTAGTGGGTGGGGTTGTGTTCCTGTTTTGCTATATGGTTGGCATAGGTTGTCCAGCACTGTAGCTTGCTGGTCGTTGAGCGAAGCTGGGTGCTGGTGTTGAGATGGAGATCTCTGGGAGATTTTCGCCGTTTGATATTATGTGGGGCTGGGAGGTCTCTTCTTGACGAGTGTTCTGAAGTTGGCTCTCCCACCTCAGAGGCAGAGTCCTGACTCCTGGCTGGAGCAGCAAGAGCCTTTCATCCACTCGGCTCAGAATAAAAGGGAGAGAAAGTAGAGAGAATTAGTATAAGTAGGAGGAAATAGGAAAGAAAGAAAGAAAGAAAGAAAGAGAGGAGGGAAGGAAGGAAGGAGGGAAGGAAGAAAGAAAGAAAGAAGAAAAGAAAGGAAGAAGGCAAGAAGGAAAGAAAGGAGGGAGGGAGGGAGGAGGGAAGGAAGGAAGGAATGAGGGAAGGAAGGAAAAAATACAGAAAGAAAGAAGATACAGTAAAATAAAATAAAGTATAATAAAGTTATTGAATTAAAAAAATAATTATTTAGAGGAAAAAAAAAAGGGAAGGATAGAACCTTAGGACAAATGGTGGAAGCAAAGTTATAGAGACAAAATCTTACATAGAAGCATACACATATACCCTCACAAAAAGAGGTAAAGTGGAAAAAATCATAAAACTTGCTCTCCAAGTCCACCTCCTCAATTTGGGACGATTCGTTGTCTCAAAAAGGGAAGGAAGGAAGGAAAGATAGAAAGAAGGTAAAGTATAACAGAGTTCTTTAAATTAAAATTAATTATTAAGAAAAAAATTAAAAAAAAAAATGGTCGGATAGAACGCTGGGACAAATGGTGGAAGCAAACCTATACAGACAAGATCTCACACAGAAGCATACACATACACATTCACAAAAAGAGGAAAAGGGGAAAAAATCATAGATCTTGCTCTAGAAGTCCGCCTCCTCAATTTGGGATGATTCGCTGTCTATTCATGTATTCCACAGAGGCAGGGTACATCAAATTGATTGTGTAGCTTTAATCCGCTGTTTCTGAGGCTGCTGGGAGAGATTTCCCTTTTTCTTCTTTGTTCTCACAGCTCACAGGGGCTCAGCTTTCGACTTGGCCCTGCCTCTGCGTGTAGGTCGCTGGAGGGCGTCTGCTTTTTGCTCAGACAGGACGGCGTTAAAGGAGCCGCTGACTCGGGGGCTCTGGCGCTCTCAGGCCGGGGGCAGGGAGGGGCACGGAGTGCGGAGCGGTCCTGCGGCGGCAGAAGTCGGCGTGACGTTGCCCCAGCCTGAGGCCCGCCGTGTGTTCTCCCTGAGAAATTGTCCCTGGATCCCGGGAACCTGGCAGTGGCGGGCTGCACAGGCTCCCCGGAAGAGGGGTGGGGGCAGTGACCTGTGCT